AATAAGTATTTTGATTATTTTCGTATTCGTGAACGTAAGTAAATAAGTATTTTGATATTTTCGTATTCGTGAACGTAAGTAAATAAATATTTTGATTAGTTTCGTATCCGTGAATGTAGAGTAAACTAAATATTTTGATTAGTTTCGTATTCGTGAATGTAAAGTAAAATAAGTATTTTGATTAGTTTCGTATTCGTGAATGTAGAGTAAAATAAGTATTTTGATTAGTTTCGTATTCGTGAACGTAAAGTAAAATAAATATTTTGATTAGTTTCGTATCCGTGAATGTAGAGTAAACTAAGTATTTTGATTAGTTTCGTATTCGTGAACGTAGTGTAAAATAAATATTTTGATTAGTTTCGTATCCGTGAATGTAGAGTAAACTAAATATTTTGATTAGTTTCGTATTCGTGAATATAGAGTAAAATAAGTATTTTGATTAGTTTCGTATCCGTGAACGTAGAGTAAAATAAATATTTTTCATATCATTTTGTATGAGTAAGCAATGCGAAATATTTGGGAGTGTTTAAACATAAATTACACACACACATATTCTTGCACTCAAAACCGGTTTATGTGGCACTGCAGTCTTAAAGAAAACCTACAAGAAATACTTATCATGTATAAGTAATTTCTAGCTCTCAAAAACAAATAAAATAAAAACACTCAATTATTATTTCCATAATAGAATTCCTAAAGCAATTTTTGCGAGAGACAAAAATATACATATATAGAAATCATTTTTTAAATGTAAAATATAATATCAATATATAAACTTAATACATAACAAACATACATGCGATTTTTAAGGACTACGTAAGAAAAAGGTAAACATGGCGGCCAAAGGTCAGTTTGAAAAATTCTCTTACATAGATGGCGCCTCTCCCCACAAACAATCAGCAGCGTCACCTATGTTGAGCTTAATGGTAAGCCTATTTTTGTTTTTGTTGCTTCGTTACAATATAAATATTGCTCTAAACACACATGAAATACTTTATTTGTTCGTAACTTAGGCCTAATGTTATCTATAAGCAGTTTAATCTCATATTCTAAAGTTCATTTGGTATATAAGAAAACAGACTTCTCTATAAATAGGTTTTAAAATTCATTCTGGATTTTATATTCAATTGTAATTTCTATATATGTATGTATATATATATATATATATTCGAAAAAAAGTATAATATAATATGGTATGCTAAAGTTTTATTCGCCAGACGTTTATAC